GTCGATAAAATTCAAAATCACTGAATAAATAGAATCAATCAGATGACGGTTTCGGGGGGTGCGAGTGTACGAATGTGTGTGTGTGTGTGTGTGTTGATGCTTGTGCATTTGGTTCCGATGCAATAGGGCATTCGTCAAACCATTTTTACAATTGCTGGTGTACAAAGTGGACAGTACACTGTGCATAGCGTATGTGAAAATTCCACAAAGTGGAATGCAGGTATAATCATGAGCAAAACCACGAAAAAGGCATCAATGCGATCGAATACATGGAAATAATTTAATTTCACCAGTCAATTATCGCTGTCGAAGCGAACCAGCCTCACAATTCAATTTATGGCGAATATTTTTTTGTTGCCCTTCTCCAACATCAATTGTAAATTAAACAACTCAACCGCATCGCGCACACAACAAAGTGAATCGAATTTTACAAAACAATCTCTTTAGGCCTTTAAATTGCTACCCCGTCGCCCGTAAAAGGCAAACCATGTGCCGTGCATTATAATTTATTCAAATATTGAAAAATAACAATCACAATATGCGCTCATGCGCGCATTCACGCGCACCGCGCTCATTCACTCAGTCAATTCACTCATTCACTCACTCACTCAGCCGATCGCTTACTGGCTCAGCACATAGAGCGAGATCGCGAGACGGAGAGGGAGCTTTGAGTTTACATTTGATCGAATACGTCGAATGATGAAGTTTACCATGATTAGTTTCAGTTGTTTGATTGTAACCACGAACAATGTGCACACAAGTTCTATTTAACTAATTTGATTACAAAGTAATTTCATCTAGAAACCAATTCATGCACGCATTCCGCACTCAACTCGCCGAATTGGCGGAAATGGGCGCACAGACAGAAGGAAATTTGGATTCACGAAATTGGCTTACTTTTTGTGAATGTTTGTGTGTGTGTCGTCGTCGTCGTTTCTCGCACATAAAATCACATTGGCATATTTGCCGGAAACTCGGCACTCAAATGTGACTGTGCGAAAAAGAGAGAGAGACGGTGGGGGCTGTGGGCGCAATGTGAATATGTGACTGTGACTCGGGTAACCATTAAAAAGCGATGGATTTGCACGTTTGTTCGCCCAATGTTTGCTTTTCTCCTGCACTTCCTCTTCACTCTAAAAACAATTCAAACACATTTGTCACAATTTGTAATTAATTCGTACATACGAAGCGATTAAAATGTAATGTTGTGTGTTCGGAAAAACGGAAAGTAAAACACACGAATTTAACAATTTACGCGGTAAACACTTCTAATAGTGGTGGCATTTTCTCTCTTTTTTCCCTCCTCCCGGCACCGTGATCATTGCTTCAACATTCAACATTTAGGCAACATTCGCATGCATCACAGGCGGAAAAAATCAACATTGATAGAGCGAGAGAGAGAGAGAGAGAGAGAGAGAGAGAGAGAGAGAGAATTGTGAGTCTTGTTTAATTTATCCAATCGTTTGGCGCGGATACCGAATGAAAGTGACACACCAAACATCGAACACAGCGATAGAAAGAGCGAGCGATAGTGGGATAGAGAGGGAGAGAGTTTTGTATGCCTTGGGCCAAACAAAAATTAAATACACAGCTAAAAGTTGATGTTTGTTTTTTTCGGCGCTCAAATGTTTTTTTTTTTTCACTCATTCGTTCGCTGATTCGCACTCGATCGCTTTCTCTCACTGTATGTATATGTGCAGCAGTGGCGCATATAGAACCAGCATCGAAAAATGAAAACAATCAAAGAATTTAAGCGACAATTTTCTTGATTAGGCCGCAATTTCGAAAGAGTTTAAATGCAATCAGCGGTAATTTTGTTCGGTGCTGTGTGCGAAATTTGCACTTCGCATTATATTTAATTTATAGGCAACATATTTATATCGAACGATCATGAATAAATAACATATTGTGCGCCTGTGCGTTTATGCGCTCGTGTATCAGAAAAGTTATTTTCTCTCTCTCTCTCTCTCTCTCTCTCTCTCTCTCTCTCTCTCTCTTTCGCCTGTTGTGGTTGAGAGATGATTTTATGCAATTTAGAATATTTATGCGCTTTGTTTGAGCAGTCTTACGAACGAACAGAAGAAGAAAAAAATGCTCGGCTTTCAACCAGTGTGTTTGTGTTGCCGTTGCATTTTTCTATAAATATTAATTATTTTATTATAATAGCGGTGAGTAGCGTTACGTGCGTCGGTTGGCTCTCTTTTTTCGGATTTTCTTTTGCTCTCTTTTTTTGCAATTTTTCTCTTTTCCTCTCTCTTTCTTTCTATTTTTCGTTTGGTTTGTGTGCTTTGTTTGCACTACTCGTAACTTAACATCATCTGATCAAGGGAAATGCAGACGTATTCATTGTCTTTTTAGCATTTGTTTACGCATACGTGTTACAATTAGTTCGGCTACATTTTGTATAGGCACTTTGCGGCTAAAGCCATATACACACACTGCTCGGATAAAGGGAAAGAAACACAACCGCAGCAGCAGAGAAAAAAATAAGCAGCAACAACAACAATAATAAGAAACGAAAATGAGAATTACTCGCAAACGAAGTCGTCGTGATAAGAGCTGAAAATGTCGCAGAAAAAAAAAGAACAACACATTCATTCTTATGTAGATGTGCCCAGCCTGAACGACATATACAGACATACACACACACACACACACACACACACACACACACCACAGTTACAAATAGCAAATATTGGACTAGGCAAATGAATGAGTTGCTCTTCATTCGTATTTTTTTTTCGTCATCTCTTCACGAGTTTTAATTAAATAACCGCGGTCTGGTCATCTTTAATTGTACCTTTTTCTATATATATATATATTTCTGGATATACGTATGTATATTCGCATTTTGTTCTCTCTTTTTGTGCTCAACGATGACAAAAAACGCAAGGGCATTTTATGCTTATAAATTAACACGACGATGTTCGCGTTGCGCTATTTTTTTTATTACCTTCGCTTTTGTCTTTGCCACGCATTCGCACCTACTAGTGTGTGTGGGTTGTTTAGCTCTAATTTTTATTATCTCTATTTAGCAAGAGAACAAGGTGCGTTCAGTCCACTGGCTCCTCATTTATATTTGTTGTTTGCCATTTTTATGCTATCTTTTCGACCCGCAAACAAATACTTGGTCGGAAGAATAGAAAAAAAAATGTTGCCATTACATTTGAAAACGCACAACCGGACTGAAATAGTACGTTACGGTATGATATGGGATTCTTTGGAACGTTTTTCATCATGACATTTTTTTACTTTACACGTAATCGACTGCAATATTTCATCCAAGTATCACGCAAAAAAAAACACACACAAACACCAGAAATGAGCGTTTTCCATGAGCACATAATTTTAATGGTTAATAATGGTTATACGGAACGTACACCAATAACAACAAAAAATAAAGAATCTCAAATGTATCCAGTTAGTGCACTCGAGATGTAACACACCGTTATCGATACAATATTTCCGTTTGTTCAGGAAATTATGGATTCTGGATGAAAGAAGCAAAAAATGCGAAACGAGCAAACACAAAAAAAAAATAAAGATGGAAGAAGTAGCTGAATAGTAGAGAATAAAACCCATTAAATATAGTCGGAAGCGAGAAAAGAAATCTATCGGGTCGATAGATGTGCGATAAACAGACAATAATCTTATAACATTTCCGTTCTGATAAGTAATTTGTTTTTTTCCTTCTCTCTCTCTCTCTCTCTCTCTCTCTCTCTCTCTCTCTCTCTCTCTCTCTCTCTATCTATGGGCCAGGTAGCAATAAAACATCTGCAGTAGCGATAGCAGAGCAAAAAAAAGAGATGTCTATTTCGGTGCGCTTGTAATGATTTCTAGGCAGCTTCATAGACATTTGTGTTTCCATGCGTGGCGCTAAGATGCATAACCATGACCAAAAATTCAATTGAAATAATTAAAACAGCATTACCATCCACGGCGTAATTCTTTTTCTATGCTTTTTATGTGGATGTGTTGTGCGCGCGCGGTGCATCGAGAAACAACCGAGAAAGGCGAGAGAGAGAGAGAGAGAGAGAGAGAGAGAGAGAGAGAGAGAGAGAGAACGAGAGAAGAAAGAGTTGAGCACCGGAGAACACGAACGAAAGACCATTTTAATGGTGGACGATAAAAAACTGAGAAAACAAGCGTAAATTGATGGAAGAAGCAGAAACTTGAGCATAAAATTTACAGGAAATATTCCAAGATGAAGTAATTGTTTGAACGAAACAATTAATTCTTAATGGCCGACCGTGATGCACATAATCATTTCCAATATTGTTGCCTGCGTTACTCTCGCCATAATGAGGTTTTGTGCGTACTTCATATTTTGCAATAAATACTACACACACAACCTCTTTTCTGTAACACGCTGCTTTGGTGCCGTCTTATTATTGCTATTATTGGTGTTGCTGGTAGTGGCTGCTACTGCTGCTGCAGTTTTCAGCCCCCGAATGCTACCGTGCCCCACACTTTACACGGTCAAGCGTTGCTTGCATTTTTAATTTCATCAGCTTATTGTGCAGTATGCTATTTAACAAATGGGGCGGTGAAAGCTCATTGCTTTTGCCGTGCACATACAAAGGAGCAATTGCTCCTGTTCCACGGATCGCATTATTGTCTCGCCAAATAAAAATTCAAATTAAAAACCGTACAACGAATAAAAGGAACAAGAAGAAGAAGAAGAAGAAGAAGAAGTGAAAGAGAAAAAAAAACACACACACATTTTCACCAAACACTATGAACCAATTACCGTGAATGTTACCGATGCCATCCAATGGCATCGTCTCATCAACCTATTAACATTCAGTTGAAATGCGCCAATTTGACGACCGACACCACTATACACATTCATAGTTTTGTCTGCATTTCAATTTTGGCTGTGTGTGTGTGTGTGTGTGTGTGAGAGAGAGAGAGAGAGAGAGAGATTGTGTGTGTTTGATTGTGTCTCGAATAATTAGAAGGGTTTTTTGTGTGTGTATGTGTTGAATTGAATATCTTACCATAGTTTCTCTACCGTTGAATTGGTGGCTGCTCTTTTTCGGGATGAAGTCTTGACTGATGCTGTTGCGACTGGTGTCTGTCGTATTGTTTATAGAGTATTTTTTTGTCGTTATTATTAATTTTTATTACAGCGCGAACAATTGAAAAATTACTTCGACTCCGCAATCATCAAATTGAAATAAAAACAAATTTAACAACAGGAGAATGAAACAAATAAAAAATTTACACGAAGAGCACTTCTGAACACATGGCAATTTGCAGTTATCATTTAGGAACAAAAGCATTTAAATGAGCGTCATGAAGTGCGATTTTTATGCGCTTACAAGATTTAAATATTTTAACCAAAAAAATAAAACGTTTTACGATCGTTTCTTAATCAATTAATTCCGAAATAGCAAATTGTGCAATGTTGCCAGACACTCAGACACCGGAGTCAATTCGATTCGCGGAAATTGAGAGAAATCTTCGCAATAATTCGGCCTCATCATAACGATTATACATATACATATGTCCGTATTTTATCAGAGTGTATATTGTGTTGAACAGATGTGATTAAGACTATTATTTAATGCTGATTGCATTCATCAAATTTCGTTTCCGTGTTTATTGCACCGTTGACAGTTATATGTGATTCGCAGCACGTTCGATTATCATTTGTTTATAGTGGAATAAATGACGAGATTGTTGTGGCGGTGGTTGCTTTTGTTGTTGAACAACGGCACAACAACGGGTTTTGATCGATGCGTGAATGCGAATCGCAATGAAACGGGAATAGTTAAGCCATGAATCTGGAATGCGTTTTTGGCAAAATGAATTCAGTCAAGATTTTTGTGTTGAGCAAATTGTTGAATATTTCATGGTTGCGCATTTTCGGGAGATTTAGTTTGAAATTTAGTGTATGTATGGATCTTATTTTCAAATGCCGATTGCCAGTATGATATAAACCACGCGCGCTTTTTGCCAACAAACAATGATGGAAAACCAACTGAAAATGCGTTAGCATGCAAATGTAAAAATGCATGGGGAAAATCTGTTTGATTTGAAAATGGAATGTTTGGCTTTCATTTTTCGAGCCGAATGCATTGAATAGAAAATGAGATTATGGGCGGCTTGCTGGTAAAAGGCAGCAAATCAAATATTCCAATTGATTTCATTTACTTTCGGAATTGATGATTTTCTCTCTCTATGTTTTGCTTATAAACATTCCGATGGAAAATTGTTACGTTCGATCGTTTTTTTTTCTCTTTGGTTTCTAAAAAGAAAATGGCCATTTTGGTTTTTCTTTTCTTTTTTTTGGGGGGGGGGGCTCTTTTTTGTTTGGTTTTGTTTTAAATCATTAAAACAATCATTTGCAATTACCGTCCTGAACGTTCGTTAATATGCACAGTTGCACAAATTGTGAAATACCACTGTCTGTGAACAAATTGGCACTGGGATTATTAAGCAAGTAATCATAAATCGATTGATGATTCGATGTGGCTGTGGTTGATGCTACTGATGTGATGGCTGCTTGTGTCGCTATCGCCGAATCGGTTAGCAATTGCCTTGAATTGATTTGGATATCGGTCGCTGTGCAATGGCCGGCGCTGCTTTTTTCATTCGCGGATGCAACAACGATCGCTTGTGTACTCTGGCCGACGTTGTTCGTATTCGGTTTTATTTTAATGCGAAGATTAACATATTGTTGATCATGTACACAATAATTGCTGTTATTATGATGAGGAGGATTCAGTGGATGGGATACAATTGGGTTATTGGTTATTGGTGTCGGTGGTGGTAGTGCTAGTGGTGGTGTTGGATAGAATGTGTATTGATTTGGGTATAAATTGGGATTTGTTAGTGAGTTCCACGCGTAACTATGCGAATAGACGGTGTGATGACGGCGATAAAAGTTTGCTTGTGTGCTATTATTCTGATTGGTATTATTATTTGCTATGTATGTATTGAATGCGTTGGCCTGATGCACAACCACACTTGGATTACAATCGCTTGATTTGAACAGACTAAACGGTTGTGTCACATACAGTGGACGTGTTGCGAGGCTGCCTGGGAAATACGTTGTGACGAATCTATGCGTTTTTCTAAGTTCTCGATAAGTTTTACGTTCCGCTTGATTTAATTCAATTAAATTCCAGTTCAACACTTTCACCTTTCGTTCGTAACTTGTTCTTTCTTCTCTCTCTCTCTTTCTGTCTTTCGCTTCGACTCGATTCTTTTCGATTTCTGTTTTGTTTTATTTTGTTTAAGTGGGTTTTTTTTCTCTCTTTCTCTCTCTCTATCTCTCTGTTTGATTCGTGTATTTGGTCTTGTCACTACAGTGAATTCAGCACACAGAGTTGTGTCGTGTGGCTTTTTGCAAAATGCTTTTGCTTTTCACGCACAACAAAATGCGATAGTTGTCACTTTTGGTACGTGTTTTGTTTGCCGAAATGACAAAATTTCAAATATTCTTCAGGTATTTAGATATATTAAATGTGTTGCATAGCAATATGGATTTAACGTCACGTGCCTCTACTATGTTTGTTATGCCTTTTTTCGTATTTTTTTTTCTATTTCTCTCTTTCGGTTCTTCATCCACTGTATTCACCAGGGATAGCAACTTATTTTGACTTTTGTTTTTGTGAAATGCGCTTATGGATCGTTTTATTGAGCACACAGAAACAAAACCAAAACAAATCTCACACAAAAGCGATATTGTTGACAAGTATAACACATCCAATTAAAGTGATTAGGTTCACGAATCCTTTTGGATTTTTGATGGTATTCTCCGAATAAATATATGACTTTGACACTTCGTTTTTGTTCTTCTATTCAATCAATAACGAACAGAATGTGATGGTGTTGATTGAAATAACCTATTTGTAATGCGTTTTACTGAGTTTTTTTTTCTTAATTCACGGTCTTTGATATAGCTCTTTTTTATTATTTTGATTATCTTTCTTTCTTTCCTTTTAAATGTCAATCACGATTGGCTATACTAGATATTGCACTGAAAGCACCTAAATTTCTTTCGCCTGACGATCGTATCGTATTCTAATGGATTAATTAAATTCGTTTAAATTCGAACACTTTGTTCGATTCACACAAAAATTGTGTTGATTTACTTGTGTTCGGTTTAAATGATTTTTGTTTGTTGGGCAAAGGCTGTTTGAAACAACAACAACAACAACAACAACAACAACAAAAACAATCTGATCAGCGGCGCGTCGTTTCTGAGAGCTGGCAAGAATTCGAAAATTGTTCCAAATAAATGATTACATCGAGCTAAAAACCACGAACGAATCAATTCGAATGAAACGCGTTGAAAATGCACTTCTTCGTTTGCAACAACTATTGAAATGCCTATGTGCTCTTTAAAAAAAACCGACTACTAGTCGTGCGCACGCACACACAAAGCCCAGTAATACTGTTTTTTTCTTCTCTCTTCTGTGCTGCGTTGTTTGATGGTGTGCTTCGTTCTTTTCTTTTCTTTATTTCGTGTGTTCGATTCTTTATCTTGTGTGTTTACTGCTGCTTTCTGTTCAGAGCATAAAAGATGCTACAAATTCGAATAGGAAAAAGTATGAAGAAATTCCATCTAAAGCATACACACAATGCAAATGCTATAAAAGCCAACGAACAGAATGCAGCAAATGATGCGAAAGAAGATGCAAGGTTCGTGTGTAACACAAACCGGTTTTGCCTTTTTTTTCTTTCTCTCACTCTCTCTCTCTCTCTCTCTCTCGCTCTCGCTGTCGCCTATCTACGCGAGAAAATGCAACTTCAACTGATGCACGACTTTTGGCGAGTGTCTGCAAATGTGATTTTGTATTTATGTATGCGAAACGCTCCTATTTCAATCGGTCTGTGCTCCTTTTTCTACAAATGAAAAAGACAGCCAACGACGAAACGAAGAAGAAGAAGAACACAAATTGTTGGCTCTTTCGTTCGCTGTTAATCGTAGTTGAGATGAACACTTCTCTTGTCTTATTTCTGTTTCTGCTTTGTTTTCTTTCTTTTTTCTCTTTCTTTCTGTGTTTGTATCGTGGCGTGTGTGTGTTTTTTTTTCTTCCTATATTTCGCGTTGCTCTGCTTGAAAACTTTTTCAGCGTTGCACACTGACGAAGAAAGCCAAAGCGCGAATAAGCTATAGATAGCAAACTACTACACTTGCATTAAAATAGCAAGTTGGTTAGCTGTTGTGTTCTAAGACACACCGAGAGAGAATTTGCTTTTCAACTAATTTCTCTTATGATTCGCTTTTCATTTCTTCTTCGGCAATGATGATCGCGCGCGTATGCGTTTGTGTGAAGGAAATTGGCCGAGTGGCGGTGGTGTTGGTGGTGGTTGGTTGACGTGTTCAATAATTATCTAAACACACGCATACACCGAGAATGGTCCACAGCGCTTAATACTGACACTGCATACACACAGTAAATTGCAATGCAATTCGAGAAAAACAAAACAATTCGCTAGTATGGAACACTCTGCCTCTTCGTTTTGTTCTTTCTTTCTTTCTTGTTTTTTTTTCTCTGTTTCTCGTCCGTACCAAAATAGAGACGAGAGCAAGAATTGCGCGCGCGAATCCGTGTGTATATGCAACGCACACACCGTCTCGCCAACCGAATATATTATGTGTGTTCCAGAACTTGATCTCAGGAATGAATGAACAAAAAAAAATCAGAACTTCTCTCTTTCTCTGTCTCTGTCTCTCTCTTTCACTCTATTTATGACAGCGCAAAACAAAAATGCTGTGTTTATTTAAAAGCATTTTTTGTTCATTCCAGCTCGGAACTGAACAATACGGTTTAACGTGTTTGTAAATGCTAGAAAGAGCAGCAGTTAAACAAAACGAAATTGAAGAGAAAAAAAACAAACAAACTATATGTATCAGTTATCAGCTTTTTGCTGCGCTTGCCGCCGTCGTTTTGTTTTAGTTACTAACGTGTATGTGTAGATGTTAGCTGTGTGTATGAGTTGCGCGGTATATAGATGATTCGCTTTTTATTTTATCTTTTTTCTTTCTTTTACTAGCGAATTTTGCCGCTTATCCAAATACATTTAGATGACGTTGATTCTGATTTATTTGTGTTGAAATATGAAAAAATGTACAAATATTTTTTCTCGTTCGTTTTTTCTTATTCTTTTTCCTCTGTAGTTGTTGTTGTTGTATCCCGAAAAGTGTACAATCCAAGAAATATATGACTTCTTGGCGAATGAGTTTGTCGAGACACGGACACCAACCAATGCACAAATAAATTTCCTAAAGTTTGTTTCGGTTGCACGTTTGTTCGCTTTCGTGGTGTTTTAAGTTCGCTTCGCGAAATATCGCGTACAATATTTGTATATGTTTATTTGACTGAATGACTGACTGACTAAACGAACCGGGCGACCACCGAGTGAGCGAGTGAACGAGCTAGCACGACGCGATTTGAGATAGAAACAGGGACAGAAGAGATTACCGTCGCGCAAGAAAGACTAAACAAGATGAAAAAAGTACCGTCTCTACACGTATATAAATTCGGCTGTGTGTGTGTGTGTGGTTTTGCTTTTGTTTCCTTCTGTGTTGCTTTTATCTCAATAATAAATTAATATTGACTTAAAAATATCACTATATATTCCCTCTAGATTAAATTCTTGTTTATTTTTCTAGATTTTTAAACCGTACGGGTTTTTCTTTTCTTTTCGCTCGCGTTTTTTTTCTCTTTTTGGCTCAACCGCTCGGGTAGTTCGATTTCGATTTTTCGTTCCTATTTTCCGCTTTGATTTGGTTGTGGTTTTCAGTTTTTGGGCTTATTAGATCTGTTTCAATCGTTCGCTTTGTTTAAATATTTGCTAATAAACCGTATCTAACCGACTGAATCGATTTACTTGCAGACTGATGTTGTTTTATTTTTTTTTGTAAGCAAAATCTTTCGATTTATGTTCGCTTTGCAAATTGCGTGCTTTTTTGTGCGCTTTTCCAAAATTACGCTTTACTCATTCAGATATTGACGCTTTCGATCAAATTGTTATGTGTTAGTGGCGCCTCAGGCTGAGCGTTCACCGTAAAACAGATTGTCGAAAAAGAGTTTGATTTTCTTTTCTGCTGTTAGAAATTGCCGTTTCACACCAAATATTTAGCCTGGATACTTCTTCAGAGAACACCGCTCATCAATGATTAACAAAGAGGTGTGCGTGAATTGTACCGTTCGATATTATGTACTATATAAACTGCCTATTAAGATTGTCCCTATCAATTAAATACAATTTGTCTATCAATCACATATATAATACACTTGCTGCAATTATTCATATGACACTTGTCATTTGTATAACGTGACGTTTTAAAATCTATGCTATTAAAGATGGGGAAAAATAGTTGTAGAACACAGAATTAGTTTGTGTGTGTGTGTGTGTGTGAGAGAGTTGATGAGTGTAAAGATTTTTGGCGAAAAAGATTGTCTTAGGTTTCTATTTGATTAAGTTTGATTGGTTTCTTTGATTAAATCTATGATTTTGATTGTCGAAACGCGATCTTGATCTTATAAATAAGAAATAAAAAGAAATCAAAATGTTCAAATGTTTAACCTACATATATAAATTATTACACATCAAGTGCATGTACAACAACACTCGAAATTCTTAAATTCTTTTTTTGTGACTAAATTTAATTAGTCTAGCTAATCTTGGCTAATTTTTCTCAAGTTCACAATATTTAAACTACGGTGAGCTATGAACAGAAACACAAATGTTTCACCTAAATGTAATTCCGTTCGTTCGGTGCTTTGATTTTCAAAGCTGCGTTTTTTTTTTCACTTTTCAAATATAAATATCAGAAAATTTTCTTACTTTGATCTCAATTATGCTAAAATCTACACAGAAAATAAAATATTCCCTTAACACGCGGTGTTTGATAAAATTGTTTCGTTTGATTATGTGAGCGTGTGTGTGTGTGTGAATGGTGAAAATTTGGTGAAAAAAAAATTCGGAAATGTGTCAACACGTCGGCGTCGCTTTGTGAGTATGATCAAGAATTTGCCGGTAAGCAACAGGATCGATCAAACAGTATGCAAAATACGACAACCGCCCCAGTTCGAACTATACTAACTATAAATACTCTTGTGTACTGGTTTCTGTTTGTTTCGGAAATCTTTCGTGTATATTTTGTTTATGAAAGTGATATGTAAATAGTAAACGCTTGCTACATCATCTTTCTTGTTGCTTGTTCTCTATGTGAGTTGATGCTGTTGAAGTGTGTACACAAAAATTGCTTAGGTCGAAATTATGAATACTCGTTTCCAATTGAAAAATACACCAATTTACTTACTGCTTAAATCGAATTCTTTGGTTACTTTAGTGTTTGCTTTGTGTGTATGTGTGTGTGTGTGTTTGAAAATCGTGTAAATAAATTGGATTTCTTTCAATGATAATGTTTTTTTTTTCTGAATTAATCCTGAAGAGCTGATAACAGTGGTTGTTCAGGATATTTTCTTAAACTTAAACACTGATTTTATGACTGTTTTTCACTAAATTTTCTCTTTTTTATGATGATGACAACGGATTTATTCTGTTTTGCTGTTTAAAAAAAACGGTCTTGGTTTTACTCACGGTTATTCCTTTCTTTGATATGGCGGTTTTAATTTAATTTTCTTTTTGATTGCTCAGAAATAGTCAGCTTTTCTCTCGAATTTTCGTTTATTTGTATTAATTACGAACGTGTTTCTTCGAAAGGGGAGTCTTTAAATGCGGACACACTCAATTTGAGACAAACAAACTTGATGGAGACAAAAACATCGGCTGAATATACAAATATACATTCAAAAAGCAAATTTTTTTTTTGTTAATTAATACGATTTAAATAACAATTCTATTTATTAAATCAATGCACTCTTTCACAACTGTATTTGGTATTTTTGTTTTGTTTTGTTTTGTTTTGTGTGTGTGTGTGTGTTGGTTCTTTCGGGTATAATTCTATTTTTCCCGATTTTACTATTATTTACATAACTTGACAGCGCCGTTCATTCATTCAAAAGTGGTAGCTGTCAGAGTTTGTTAAATGTGTTTACTTGTCAATTTCTCGCTTTTGTTTTGCTTCGAATAAAGTTCTTTCCCTCGTCGTTTATATTATGATCCAAGTCATAATCAAAAAGTGTTTCCCTCTTTCACACTGTGTGCGTATGTTTCGCACTGACTGGTTGTCGTCAGACAATTATTTCTTGTGATTTTTCGGCGAAATGCAACAAATACGCCCGGCAGACGAAAACAAGCGAATTTTTGTTTCCTTCAAGCGATTGACTAAAAGTGTGTTTGTTATGCTTTAGCTCTGGCTGGTATTTTTCTTCTTTTTTTCTTGATTAAAATTTGTTTTTTTGAGTTATTTAAATTGTTCAAGTCTTATGTGTGTTTGTATTTTGTAGCACAAAAGTACAAGTTGTTGCTATTGTTTCGTTTCGATCTAGCCGTTACTTAATGTTTTTTTTTTGAATGGTGCGCTCGCAAAAGCAGCACTTTTTTTCTTGCTATTCGCTCCGTGAAACGGTTTCGTGATGTGTGAATGATGGTGATGAAGTTGTGTAATGAGTTGGTGTGTGTGTGTGTGTGTGTGTTGTGATGAGAGATGAGACGGGAATGAAAGAGAAAAATGATTTATTTGTGTCAAGGAGGAGAGCACACAGGATGTAGAAATGGAATGTGGCTGAATTGGGATGTTGTTGTTGTTTTTCGTCCTTTATTTTTCGTTTTTATGATTATTATTATCATCGGCTGTGGTAGCGATGCCTGCTAATCGTTTTTTTATTCGCGGCCAGAGTTTGACGTATGAATTTTGCAAAAATTCAGGAGAGCGAGAGAATGAGGAATACGCAAATTTATTAACCGACAGCAATCGAAGTCAAAACAAGAAAAAAAAAATTCAAATCAAATTCGACGAATATAAAACCAGTGATAGTTGGTTGGTATATCTATTAGCGAGGACAAGTTTCGATTGAAAAATGATGATTTTGAGTACGTGGTGTATTGGAACCGTTGAATGCTTGTCGCTGGTTAAGGGATAGATTTGGTCGCACACGTTTTTCTTTTGCTTATGTGATGAATGACGCCGTTGAGCAGCAACAATTAATAAACAAGTCGTGTGTTGCGGTGTGTTTCTTTATCTCTCTCTTTCGCTCTCTCTCTCTCTCTCTCTCTCTCTCTTGCTATATGGATGATCTTCCTTTAATAGCGGATCTCTCTTCGCAAGCGAAACGGTTTTTCTTTTTTTCTTCTGTTATTTGATTGCAGTAGCACCGATACTATTTTATAGATATAGTAGTATATGAACCTGAACAAACAACACAAGTTTATCAATTTTCAATTGAAATCAAAATCTATGTTTTTAAATGCGATTTAATTTTAATAACAAGTTCAAATGCGGAATTTTCGTATTTAGCTTCGGGGAGCGAGGGAGCTCACTCACTCTCTTTCTCTATCTATCCCTACTAATAGGACCGACCGAATGAATCGAATTTTCGGAGATTTCAATCTATCTCTCGGCTTTCATCCCGTTTAAATATATATCAATATATTTTGGAATACGCGTGTTTTGCGTGTGGTTTTTCAGTTTCAGTTGCAATTTCAAATATATTCATTCGCCAATTGGTTTTCGTTTTGTATTTTTCTATATTATGAAAATTTCAAATCAATTTACTCTGATTGGTATTTTGATCTATATCATTTATTTACTTTTGATACTTTCTGTTTTTTTTTCTCTTCGTATTTAGATAATCAACTGTTGCAATTTACTTATTACCGTACCGATTTTATGCGGAGTGGATAGAATGTTGTGTTTACAAACAAACGAAAAACAAAATATCTCGTTTAATTTATCGACTTTTAGTTTTGTTTCGTTATTTTCATGAATTTTGTATGGTTTTTATTTATTTAATTTATTTATGTGGATTTAAACGAATTTGTTTTTGGTTGTTGCTTGAAAAAAAAATTGTTTTTTTTGTCTGTTATTTTTTGATGTTGTGTTTTAAGAGCGGCGGACAGATTGGAACGGGTTAAAGCGAAGACTGTATGAAGACTGAAGTGAAATTGAATAATATTACTCGGTCGTACCCACGGAAAAAACAGAATGAACATAGAATAGGACACAACACAGCGCGCACAGAGAACACAGTAAGGAGATTTGGCTCGTACTGCACTGCCGAAACGACAATATTTGCCAGTGCTGAACCTGATCCATCGGTTTGTTTCATGCGTTTCCACACGCAAAATAATGTAATGATAGAAAAGAACAGGCATACACCACCAGATAGTACAACATTACACACATTATGCACAACGGTGCGAAAGAGCACGAGATAGTGGTACTGCGTCGAATCAGTTTCGCGCACAGCCACAAGTTTCTCTGTTCAATTAATTCGTGTATCAACATCAAATTGTGTGTGGTGTATGCATTGTATCCATGGATTGTTGGCGCTATGCTATGCTGTTGCCGCTGGCTTCTCATACACACACACTCTCTCGCTCTCTCTCTCTCTCTCTCTCACACACAAACACACTCGGTCGACAATATTTACACGCCACCGTTTGTACAGCCACACGTACGTGTACAAGCTATGAAAAGCCGAACGGAATATCCACTTCAGTCATCTCCCCTGATGAGGTAACAACAACACACAGCCAAAGTACACGACGGCACACGCAACACATCAACGTCGCCAACGACAACAACAATAACAACGACGACGACGACGATGACGACCGAAGCAACAGAACACGACACATATACCGATAGATCCAATGTGTTTTTCTCGCTCCGCTTGTGCTATTTTCTGATCTGTATTCGCTTTTTCCCTACTATCTAGCTATCGGTCTGCTTGGTGGCAGCGCTCCCGATATATATGGATACCAAACCGTACTGTTCATGTGCTACGTCTATCCATCGCACGGTGCGACACACACAAACACACAATGGACACCGACAACGACGATGAAGAGAGAATATTTCGCACGCATTCCTTACTCCCCTTTATAATCTACGTGCACACACATTTTCCATTCGTCTGATCGGTGCCGAAGCCAGCTATTTTTGATGTTGCTGGTGGTTTCGTTTATTTCTTCGTTCTTCTTATTTCATTTTTTTCTCTCTTTCGTCTCTCTTCCTTCTTCTTTCTTGCCACTTCTTTTGCTTTTCTTTTCTTTTCTTCTCTTCATCATTTTTCTATCTATTCGTCTTGTGCCTTCGTTTTTTTCCCTTTTCTATTTCTCTCGTTAAGGTTTCATGGTTTTTTTTTCTACCATCATGATGCGCCCGTCGTGTTGTTTGCGTACGTACGAGCTAGAGATTCACGTTCGATTGTATTACAGGTTGGAGAACTTCTTCAGTAACCTGCATTTTCTCGTAAGCCCATATCTGCGCTCTTTTTCTCTCTCCCTCTCTATTCATTCTCTATTGATATATGTGCACGCTGTTCCGTGCTATATGCTTTTTTTCCCAAGCACTTGTGTGCGAAAATTGCGAGTTTTACGAACACTCGATGCAAACCGTTTGAAATGGTATATAGCAGCCCGGTGTGTGTATGTTGCTGTGCCATACAACATACTTTCTCGTTGGTACACGTATTTATATTGTTGTCGCTGTTGTTCATCTTCAGCAACGACAAACGACAACTTTCATCAGTTCGTCGACGAAGGTGATCTCTCTCGTAGCGATTATTATTGTGTGATTATTCTAGGGGCCTTTAAAACCCCAAATCACTCGCTCTCATCAATGCTTTATGTGCATCTATGATGTGTGTTGATTGCATTCAATGCATTGAATCGGGGCCATTTGTTTGTTACCGCACAAATGCGCGTCACCAAGGAATCGGAGCAAACAATCAACAAATTCTCTATGCAATTTCGACTAGTTTTTTCTTCTTTTCTTTTGCTCATAATCTAAAGATTCGGCAATTGTTCGGTGTATGTGTTTGTGTGTTAACCTTATTCCATTGGATGTACTCGCCGAAAAAAATGGAACAAACTCCAAAAGCTGCGGTACAAATAGCTGAATTCAAAAGAATTTTGAAAACAAGGAAACATTTCTCTGGTCGAAGGACCAAGGCAACATACATCCGATGCTTTTTTTCCTTCTCGTTTACATGTTCAGTGCTCGAGAAACCGGGCTGTGAATCTGAAAAGCATGTCAAGCATAAAATGGATAGAAAAATGACAAGAATTGCAGTAACATTTGCTGTTTTTACATACAAACCTTGCTCAGGTGTACGAATTTTTTTTTTGCCTTTGCCATTTTGCTTCCTCTGTCCGCCATAACTCGCTTCATTCCTGTGTGACTGAGACTTTTATCACATGCAAGAGAGGGCCGTGTTTCAGTTAGTAACGATTTCGCGATTTTCGCTAAACCGCTTTTTAAACGACACTAAGAACATTTCATGCGGATTAGACAGACGAGCAATCAGCCCATGGATTTTCTCCATCAATGCTTGGTTCTTGTTGTGTGTTATTCGTTCGTCCAGTCACAGTCATTCTCTCAGGCTGTGCTGAGCTCACCATTTTCAATTTCATTCAAATTGCCCATTTATTAAAATCATACCGGTTCTTCTTGGTAGTTGCCATTCTTCTTTTTTTCGTCTCTCTCTTTCGCTTTTTCCTCCAACCGCTTTCAGTCTTTCACTTGCCATCCATGCCCATGTGTGTACATAATTCTTCAGTGGCAACGTGCGGTACAAATTACAAGTGCGCGTTCATCTGTCTCTCTGAATGGTAAATAACATAAAAGGTCGCATAGCAGCAGCAGCAACAACAACTACTGCAAACAGCAACATCCGAACAGCAACAGCATTTGCCGAAGCCGTAGCAGCAATAACAGAGGATAAAAAAAATAGTAGCCATTGCTTAAGCAAAAGTGTTTGCAGTTATGTAATTCACAGCAATCAGGGTTTATTAGATACACGAAGCACATGTCTATCTACGTATCTTTGGTGCTTATCATTTACCAGAATGATTGCACTAAAATACCCGTCCGTGACCATATTTATTTTTCAACTCGCATCGCATGAATCTTCTTCGTGCGTTGCGTTCGTTCACGTATGTTTACTGCACTCTTTTTGTTTTGTTGCAGAGCGATAAGCACGGCGAAAAATGTATCGCTCTCTTTCACCCCATCGTTTTGTATGCAGTTTTTGTCCTTAAATCGCATTACAACCGATTCATATTTATCTATTGCCGTTACGTGCACGTTTATGGTTTTCACTCTCTCCTTCTCTGTGTTGCATTCAATGTGCGAATGGGGATGGAAGCGAGAAAGGGCGGGAGGGCTAGAGGTGTAGTTAGTTAGACGCGCGCGCTTTCATGATGTACGCTTTATCGTTGATGGTCGGTGATCGTTGTGCTTTACATAGAAAGACCCACACACATACGGAGAGAGAGAGAGAGAAAGAGTTGCAGTGTGTGCGGGAGCTTTTGTATTGGTGCAACGGAGAATTTTCCGCTTAAAGCGGCCAAATGAAAAAGCAGAAAGGCTGCCAACCATTCGTAATTGAAATCACATTATTTAGGTAAATAGTTCAAATAAACTCCAACAGGTATTTCACGTTTCGCTGATTTGCATGGCACAATGGCAACCAGTACATTTTCCGTTTCGGTGTGACCACACACGCACACATACGAGAGAGGCGCCTATGTTTTTGGCTCAAAGCGCACATTTCAACTGCATGCACGAATATCGAATAATCATTTCGGGACAAAACACGGACTGTGCTTTGAAGCGGCGCAAAAAGTGAATTTTTTTGAATTTACTGTAATCAAATTACAATTACTAATGATTCAACTATTGATGGTGCGCCTCAAGTAGAGTTCTTTTAATTTTCAAACGAATGCATATTGCACTGAAAACAAGTAATAATAAATATTGACGCACATCGTATACTTGATGGCATGATTTTTGAAGAAAAACCCAACCCGAACAGTTCAAACGAAATGCTATATAGCAGCGAATCAATCAAAAAGGCTATTGATGACGGGCATCGTGGAATTGCACCAAATTATAAATTAATCAGAGCTTTCCGAGTATACTTGCATATACGTACACAGGCAATTGCTGTGAAAAAAAAAACTTTGATCGAAAAAGCTACATTAACCTTTTTGAGCTGATGGGCATTTTTCCAAAGAATTTACTATTTCAACGGTATACGCTTTAAATGCACTGCGATGTTTTTAATTAATGGCTTCGTTTGGGTGTGTATGTGTAATGTTATTGGTTTGCACCTAATATTGGTTGGCATTCGATTTATTATTTCATTTTAGCCACTTTAACCCCTAATTTATGGCCACTTCCAAGCATGTTCATTAAATACTCAACAAGCATACGAAGCATGTGTGTTGTGGAAAAAAAAACGGAATCAATTCACTTACTCGATTTTCATTAACAATTGCTCGAAAGGAAAAAAAGATACACCCGATTGAAATAAACCATTTAAAATCATCGAAAATTCTCACTCATACGTATATAAATGTGTGTACGTGCTCATGTGCTGATTTAATGTGTGTGATTTTTATAATGCTCTCCGAATATATTGGTATTTATATTTGAAATGTGAAATTTTATCGAACAACGATTCGTTTATTGGATTATTTTTTTCCGCCGTTCTTCTCGCTCGACCTGTTCGCGCTCCGTTCTGTGCGCTTTGTTCTGTTGGCAATGTCTCGCGGTAGGCCTGGGCAAAATCGCGTGAACGGCTACAAAATAAAAGAGTCATACATCAAATGGTGTGAAATGTGCCAAATCGAAGCCAAAAAACTCATTTATCTCATGTAACAGGTTGTCTGTGATTTTTCGCAAATACGCGCAACTAGTGCATGTTTAAAGCAAAGGCAACAACAACCAATCACTGCATATGTGGTGGCCGAGCGGCGAAGCGATGAGCAAGACAACGATATTTGTTGTCTTGCGTAAGGGGAAATCGTCCAATCCGAAACACGGCGCGCTACACAGAGAGAAATAAACTGAAGAGAGACGAACAATGGCACGTTAAAGACGGATACGCTGTTGTTCTGTTTCAAAAGGCATTTTCTCCTCATTTTTTTGTGTGTCTCGAATTCGGTTGTTGTTGCTGCCGCTGTCGCCGCTGCTGCTGCTTCTGCTGTTGTTGCTCTTGGTGTGTTACCGATGTGAGCGAGATTCGTTTGCATTCTATTTACTGGATCGGGGATTCCAATGTTCGGCTTAGTTCAAGT